ATCGGCAACAAAGACGTACTTGCTATTCCTCAACATCGTGCTCATTCTTGTACCTGCCAGTGACTAGCAACCAATTTCCTATTTACACTTTTACGCGCATACCCAGTGTGCATGAATGGTCATGTGACATGCGTTTTCGTTTGCGTAGTGTGGACGGAGATCGTTTCTGAAATGCAGTGAAAACGCCAGTGTAGACGAGGATCGTTTTCATTTTAAAATGCAGTTTTAAAACGAAAACGCACTAGTGTAAACAGGCCGTGAATGGCTTAGAAATAGTACATAGAATGGCAGCTTAACTGAGTCTAATGGGCTTCAGTTGTGTTTACATTTGAATGTTTGTCACAGTTAGTACAGTAAAAAAATCATTAAGTCTATGAAATGTTCCCATAAAGCATGGAAACCAGTGTGTCTACACAAGTGTCCTACATTTCCACTTTTTTGTAATATGTAGAAAAATAGTAATACTATATTGAATGAGAAGAGGCGACTAAACTTTGGACTGGTAGTTTTGCCCTTTGTGTTTTATACAAGCTGCCAGATTTTCATCATTCAGTATTTCCTTGTTTGTTGTGTCAACAGCTTTCCTATCAATCCATATGCAGTTTTATTCCACCTTACGGTAACTTGTCCAAGAGAATCATTCACTAGAGTAATCATACATTTTTTTCATTGGATGTCCAGATAGGTGGTGACTTTTACTTTTTATACAGCACACATTCTTGAAATGTCAAATGGAAAAAGGGATGTTTAGTATTGTTGATAAGCCATTGATAATATATTATGCAAATATATTTTACTGTAGTTTATTTGTCATGCCACTGTGTGCATTTGTGTAACTCAGCGTCATAAAATTCAAAATTATACATCATTCACACAGTGGCTTTTGTGTTTGAGTTTACATGTTAATCATTTTAATTGTATTTCAATTTGCATCTGCCTCAAACTAATTCATACATCATCCATCTAGATCAGTTTCGATCTGAACATCGTGTTTGTAATACATATCATAGTAAATGACCTAAATGAACTATGGTAAAAAGTTCAGGCATGAAAAGATAACGATAAAGTCATCATAGTTATCTTTATAGTTATTGTCCTAGGTATGAACTGGCCTTAAATTTGAAGAGCAACTGCCTTAGCAGTTTTTAGTCAAGTTCTCACTGAAAAGTTGTGTCTTCAGCAGTTCTCTTTTTGGGAATATAATTTATTTTTATAGTCCACTTTAGACATTCTACTAATTATAAGTAGCTTTGCAACTACATGTCAACTAAATCTCATTAGAGTATTAGTAGACTGTAGGGTTAGGTTTAGCGTTAGTAGAATAAGCTGACATGTACTTGTAAAGTCACTTATAGTCAATAGAATGTCTGTTGGGGGACTATCAAAATAAAGTGGTAGGAGTTATTAAGCAGACAGTCAATATTCTGATGACTGGTACTGTATTTGACATGTAGCTACTTATAGTTAGTAGAATGTCTAATGTGGACTATCAAGATAAAGTGTTACCGATAACTGCACCACTGTAGTACACTAAATATAAAAGAAGAGTAATTTTGTGACTTTTTGCTGTTCACTCACTTACCACAGACTTCTGGAGTTTCTGAATTAATGTAGACTGTAGATCAAGTGTCAGTTCTACATGCAAGCCTCAGTGACTTAATCCAAAGTCCCTTTTAAGGAAATTCAGTTTACTAGTCAGGTGTACAAGACCAACTCCTACCTACGTGAAATATCAAAATCAAAAACTGCTTTCCAAACTCAAATCAGCAATAAAAACTGACATGAACAGTCTTACAAATGTTGTTTCTTATGCTCAAACACCATTAAAAAAGCATATACTTCAGGTGGGTCCAGCCAATTATGTTTATGTGCATTCCTATAAGCTTCAGGTTTATAGCCAATGGAAAATGGTGTTGTGACAAAATATGTAAACAATTGCTTACTATACAGTGCATAATAAAACAAATTGGACATAATATAATTTCCTTCACTTAATAACGGTTAATTAATAAATGAATAACCAAACCTAATTATTTTGTAATAACTGAAATAGTTGGACATTTTACACATATTTTTATATTTATTTATATAGAATATTATTGAAGTGCAAATGTGTGATGTATATGCTAAGCTATCATGCTAATTGTGCTATTCTAGTATGTAAGCTAACTAAAACAGACATTTATAAAGCAATAAGCCCCAAGGAGTTGTGGTTTGCAGGGTATTTAGAACAGTTAATAGGCATTGTTAGGCACGAGGCTGAGCAGCAGCTGAAGTGATGCAATGACTGGCAATTAACTCTTTTATTTATGTATATTATTATTACTAGAGCCACCATATCATTTCTCCCATTCACATGATGTTTTTCAGTCAGAAGGCTGCATCCTTCCTGACTTCTGAGGCTTGTAGGCTAGAGTCCTCCTCAGCAATGAATGCTAGAATAAGACAGTGGTTACAGACAGTTTAGCATTATGTGAATAATTTACAGGAAAAAAACAAACAAAACCTAAACAAAACCAACAAAAAATAAACGTAATGCTTTCATCTGCTCATTTTTTTGTCTTGCGTTACATAATGAAATTAGAAAAGCTCAGTGCCGATTCGTTTTCTGCTAATTCTTTTGCATTAATTGGAGTGCTTGCAAAGGATTGTGGGTTATTGGCAGACATAAAGGATACACTTGATGAATCCTTTAAAAAATGCTGAATGAAGGATGCTAATCGAAGGCTGCTTTTCAAGGATCGTTCAAACTGAAATGAAGACATGGAAGCCAAGATATGTAGCCTTACTAGGATGTAACATTTCAGATTAAGAAGCAATCCATTGTAATACTACGCGTTGTTCACTTATATAATAAGTGAACCATATTTGTAATATACAGTCTTTGATTAAACTTGGCAGCTATTGCAGAGATTCACAACAAGGTGTAATATGGGTTCATTGAAGTCTTACAGATGTTTGATTGCACATGATGAAGGATGGCTTAAGAGCAGTAGTGACAAGAGCCTGGGAAAAGACTTGTGCAGCATGCTAAGATAAAATGGGATTTTCCTGATGTTTTAGAGCAAATCTGTACGACTGAGAGATCTTTGCAATATCTTTCAAATTAAGCTGGTCGTCAAACATATCTGTTGTGATTGTTATGGAGTCCTGCTGTTTTATAGAACATTTGATTATTTCAGTTAATGTAATTTCTTCCCTCAGGCACAAATCCCTGATGTTGAGAATGTTACAGTAATTGGTCGAACAGAAACTGAATTAACACTTCAATGGGAAGTTAAAAACAGCAATTACATTTATATACTGAAGACAACTGGCAAAGAGGAGTTGGAGATCAACCCAACAGAAACTGATTCTTTAGTAAATATAACAGTCTCGCCTCTGTCTCCTGGGACTAAATACTTTTTCACACTCTACACTTTGTTTGAGAATGAGACGAGCAAAGGATTTAACTTATCTCAAGTAACTGGTAAGTGAGTCATTGAGGTTTAACCATATATACATTTTTTTTCTTCTAAAGAAGCTTGTAGAGCAACTTAATAATTTTGGCAATATAAATTTCAAATTCCTCTTTCATTAAAATTAAATTACACTATAAATGGACTGTAAATGTTATGTAATTTTCATTCCTAACATTTAATGTGAGTTAATTGTTGGCTCAGTGAAATGAATTAATGATCTTTCTCAAAATCTAGTATGTTCTACACAATTTCATTGAAGTTGACTAATTGCAAACAGCAAGCAGAACTAACTAAAACCTGCAATTAGGCCTCAAATTTATTTACTTAAAAACATAACAAGTATTTAAACATTAATGCACATACAAACGTATGAGAACATTCTTGGGTTTACTTCTTTGGGATATACTGTTAAAATACCAAGTATTCAAATATGTTTACCTTTAGAATAGAGTGACAACAACCACAATAACACTATAATAATGCAGGTAGTACGATGGAAAGCCACATGTTGAATAAAATTAATCACAAGTAGCCTTTCCATAATTCAAGGCAAATACCAATATAATAGTGTAACACAACACTAAAATAATCCATTAAACATTAACACTTTAACACAAGATGTAACATTTAACTCTGATGTGCATAACTGATAACAACCATAAGAAGAAATTCAAATTAAATGTACAGTTTATGGTAACACTTTATTTCGATAGTCCACTTTAGACATTCTATTAACAGTAAGTAACTTTGTAACTACATGTCAACTAGCAGTTAGTAGAGTATTAGTAAACTGTCTGCTTAAAATCTTCTTACACTTTCTTTGTCAACATTCTACTAACCCTAAACCTACCCTCACAGTCTACTCTGAGAGTTAGCCGACATGTAGTTGCAAATGAATGAGAATTAGTTGACATGTAGTTGACATGTAGTTACAAAGTTACTTACTGTTAATAGAATGTCTAAAGTGGACTATCGAAATAAAGTGTAACCCAGTTTATTTTCCAGTTTACAGTTTTCCACCATTTATTAAAAAAAAATTCTTACTTAGGAAAAAAGTATTTGCATTGCCTTGTAGATAATAATATAGAATTTCACATTAAATGTTATGGTCATTTATAAATTTGACTTATTTGACTTACTTTACCATGTATAGTGCTCCAGTATTTAGAAACAAGTAGCATACAGAAATGTTAGTTCAGACATCTAGTTTATCACATTACCTATCAACATGATCCACTAACAATTCACAAACCCAAAGTGACTGTATTTTTGACTGTGCTATTCAATATGTGCAGTCTTTCTTTAAAATAAGTGTAGCTTTCTTGATAATTTTCTAACGCAAAGACATTCAGACATGTATAGATTTACAACTACTTTCTAGGAGAACTGTACATTAACTGGTCAGTCTTTGAAGGAACTGAATGGCAGATGAATTAATGTACATGTGAATAGTAGCAGGAGCAATGGAAATACAATTTATGTTTCTGTCTTCTTTAGTTCCATCTCCTGTTGACAGTGTTTCGGTCATCACACGGAAAGAGAATGAGATACAATTACAGTGGTATAAAGTCAACGACAGCAATGATTACAGTTATAAGCTGAAATACAGGAACGAAGAAGTGCCTTCAATATTTGGATCTACCGATTCTACAGTGGAACATAATGTCACGTCTCTGAATGCTGGGACTGAATACTTCTTTACGCTCTACACTGTGTTTGAAAATGAAACGAGCAGTGGATACAACTTCTCCAATGTAACCAGTGAGTACATAATTTTAGTCAACCTACAGGGACACAGGCTACTGATTTAGGTTGAGGGTGTCACATCTACTGTTATGCTGAAATCTTGTCCCATTCTGTCAGAGGTCTGTCACACTTACCAATTAAGAAAGAAAGAGGTGTAAAAGACAACACAACTGCCTCTGACATTTCTCTCCAATTTCTGTTCATGTGCAGGAATAAGAACAGAACTACAGCTAAAATTCTAATTGAATTAGGATGCAATTCATACAGTGTATACTTCTACTGGATTTTTACTTGCCCTCCAAATATTTTCACTGGTCCCACCACAAAAACGGATACATTTCTATTGTTTTAGTAACTGTTGGATTAAGTTTTCAGAATCAGCTGAATTTGCAAAAACAGTGTAAATACACCAAGTTCGTAAATTTTTCCATGGCAGTGCAGCGCTGACCCAAAAACGGTCACAAACCTGGCAGTTGGTGTCATAGAGTTAACAGGTCCATTACTGCACTTACTCCCTCTGACTTTCTAATAACTGCTGTGTGTAAACGGCAAGCTCATTTTATAACACACTTCTCACTATATCTGCATTTGTTTCAGTGCCATCTAATGTTGAAAAGGTGACGGCGAAGCTCAATGACACCGACATGATCTTACAATGGAATATTGTATCAAACATAGACAACAACACTTACAACTATGCTCTTGAATACAGAGATGAACCGGTGAATTGCATTAATTGCATTGCAGAAAGAAATGAGGTAACATGTCATATATCAGCTTTGATTCCTGGAACAAATTACAGCTTCACTCTGTACACAATGTTTGCTGATCTGAGAAGTACTGGATTGAACTTCTACAACATGACGAGTAAGTGGCTCTTTTTAATTAGTTTAATACTAATACGTAATTCAAATCAAAAGTTGTCTCTGTTAATATTAATTAATTGACTTAACTATAACTATAACTATATGACTTAGCTAAAACGAAGCTGTATTTTTTTACATTTAACATTAACAAAGGTTTATAAATACTGTAACAAATGTATTGCTTATTGTATTAACTAACGAAACACAGAGGGATTTCATTAGTCCAACACAAGAGCAAATATTTACAAGAACATAATTTCTAATCTTTTTTTCTTCTTCTGCTGATTTAACATCATTCTCTAAGTTTAAAGCAGATTTTAATTTAGCATACACAGCATTACAAAATGTCTACTATATTATTTTAATATAACGTAATATAAGTCAGCTTCTTGGAAGGTAATGGGTTAAGGTTAGGCAAGGTTTAGTATAGTTATTATACATTATATTAGTACAAACTGTGCATGTAGAATAGGACTTTAAAATAAAGTACTACTCATCATGATCTAGTTGAGTAAAGCAAATTTCTATAGATGGCATTTTAAAAATCAATCTATCAATCAATCTGATGTTTCAACCCAAATGTAGTATGAAACATGTTTATGAATGACATTATTGCAAATTCTGACAGCACTCTTTCAGTTGAATTGAATTGGTTTGAATTGAATTGGAAAATAAAATTAAAATGTTTCTTCTGGTTTGTCTCAGTTCAAATTCAGATTGAATTGAAATGAATTATCAACCCTGCTACATACCATCTCAATGATGAATTTGTGAAGAATGTGCTGCAGTATTTGTATTAATTACTAACAGCTCTTGTTGAAAATGAATCTCTCTTTACAGCTCTATCCGACATAACTGAAGTTTCAGTCACTCGGTCACAGACGGATTTGATTATCTCATGGAATAAGTTAAACAATAATGACATCTACAACTACACTTTGAAAATGCAGGGAGAGGAGAAACATTTCACTGGATCTGTTGATAAGTTAACACATACTTACCGATCTCTCACACCGGGGACTGAACACAGTTTTAGTCTCTTCACTGTGGTGAACAATGTCATAAGTACAGGATACAGCTTTAAGAATGTCACTAGTAAGTTTTGATAACATTACTTTGATTCATCTATCTATTTAAAAAGCAAATGTATGAGTTTTAATTGAGTTTTGACAGCTTGCTAGTCATGGGAAAAAAAAGTGGTTTTGAATACTTGAACTCTTTAAACAATATTTTGGTAAAGTTCCATTTGTTAACTACATTAGTTAAAACGAACTAACAATGAAAAATACTTTTTAGTTATTTATTAATCTTGGATCATGTTAATTAGTTTAATACTAATACGTAATTCAAATCAAAAGTTGTCTCTGTTAATATTAATTAATTGACTTAACTATAACTATAACTATATGACTTAGCTAAAACGAAGCTGTATTTTTTACATTTAACATTAACAAAGATTTATAAATACTGTAACAAATGTATTGCTTATTGTATTAACTAACGTTAACTATAGTGTTAGCAATATTTTTAGCACATTTGGTAACACATACAGTATTCTGAAAAAAATAAGGAATCCACAGCATAATCAACCAACATATGTTTGATATGGGCCAAGACCAGATCCAGATCAGGAAGTTAAGTGATATTAAGTGATATTAATTAACAATGTGTATTTACTAGAACGTTAGGGTAAGGATTTGGGGTTATTTGCATCTAATTATGCATAATTTACTGTTATTTCTATGGTAAATACAACGTGTAACAACGACGCTGGAAAATAAAGTGTTACCTAAAGTCCTGTATCACTTATGCCAAGATTAAGGCCCCAAGAGTAAGACTCCAACTCAGTTTGAAATTGACATTCATATGTTTGTTTATTTTCTGCAGCTCTTGACTGTGCGTCCTTTAACTGGATAGTTACCAACTCATCAATAGAGGCTCAAGTGAATGGTTCCACATATGTGACAGCTCAAAACAGCACCGGAAGTGGTCAAAGTGGCTCTGTAGATGGCAACAGGGTGAATCTGCGAGACCTATATCCTGGAGAAAGCTACACTGTCTCACTGTTTTATGACTTAGAGTCACAGAGGCTGCCACAGTGCTCACACCGCTTGACGTTAGGTGAGTTTACAAGCTCTGTTCTGACTGTGCCGCTGAGAAGCTGACACTCAATACAATTACTTTGTTTTTTTGTCCATCTGCTTCTCTCTCAAACTAGTTCCAAATAGTGTATCTCACCTCCGCTGTAAATATCATTCTGGAGGGTATGGCCTGGCTGTAATTTGGGATCTTCCATATGGAGTTGTGAATATGGTGCAGGTAGATGTAGGCAAACAAAGTTTTAACCAATCACATAGTTCAGAAAATCCAATAAAGTTAGAGGTAAAAGGCCTGCAAGCTGCCCAGTGGTACGAAGTGACAGCAACATCATTCTCTGGAGCCATGACGAGTCAAAAAGTATCAGTCAACTGCCAAACAGATCCAGCAGGTAAACTAATGTCTAGATATCTGTAATAAAAGATCCAGGAATATTCCAAGTTAAATTACAACTTAAAGCAATAATGAATCTTAAAAAGGACAGTTCTGTCATTATTACTCAACTTCATGTTGTTCCAAACCTGTATGAACCCTGCTTCACTCATGAGCTGTCATGGAAAAACCAAGGAGAGCTTTGATGTACAACCTGTTTGCACATTCTTCTCTTGTACATTCCTGCTCATCTACATATTTATTAAGTTTACAGTACATTGTCCTGCGCATTTTATTTTTATTCTTATTTTTTTATCTTACTTTTTCCATACCTATATTTATATATAATTTTCTTGTGTTTGTATTCTTTAATAATTGCACTGTCCATGGAGCGGACCTGACTTACATTTCACTGCTGGTCAAATATTCTCTATATAACCATGTATGTGACAAATAAAACTCTTGAATCTTGAATGGATAAGATGGCCTGTTCCACACACAATTGCTATTATGTGACTTCAGAAGATTTGCAATATATTGTAAAATAATGTTTATTATTTTCATCAGTGTTGAGAACTGTTTTGCTGGTTATTATTTTTGTGGAAGCCCTGATACTTTTTTTCCAGGATTATTTTTTTAAAAGAAAAGTCAAACAACATCATTTAAAGGGGTCATATGATGCGATTTCAAGTTTTCCTTTCTCTTTGGAGTGTTACAAGCTGATTGTGCATAGATAAGATCCCTGAAGTTGCAAAGACTAAAGTCTCAAAACCAAAGAGATATTCTTTATAAAAGTTAAGACTCTGCCACCCCCCTCAAAAACGGCTCGTTCTAACATGCCCCCACATATCTACCTCACTATGTGGAAATATTAGCATAATGCCGCCCAAATGTTCACGCAAAGAAAGAAGGTGTGGTTTCAGTAACCGCAGTTAGTGTTGAAGCAGCCATGTCAGGGAGACGCTGTGTGTTTCTAGGCGAAAGCGAAAGCACTTTATTTGGCCTTCCGAAAGTAGATGCATTTAGGAATCTTTAAGATTACTTACTTACTTACTGTGTCTGTCACGCGACTCTGTTCCCCTTTCGGGCTCTGTCTTTACATTTATTTTGAAAGATGAAGCTCGCGATTATGATAAGGGGCATTACATTTCCGACAAGTGCTTGCGGTGTTCGGTCAATCACAATGCACTGGGTCAGCTGGCCAATCAGAGCAGACTGCGCTTGTCGGAAGGAGGGACTTTGTAGAAAACGAAGCGTTTGAGAGAGGCGGGGCATAGAGGACCTACAATGATGTACAGTATTTGAAAAATAATGTGTTTTTTGAACATTAAAGCATGTCAACATATTCTGTTACACCAACTACACCAAATAATGATCTTTAAAAAAGCATCATATGACCCCTTTAATTAAAACAGAAATCTTTATTGTCTTACTGAACTTATTGTGATCATTTTATTTGATCAATTTAATGCATCCCTGCATTAAATTTAAATTGCATTGTTTTTTTGTACTTTTGTATGGTAATATATCATGGTTTCCACAATATATTATTTAGAAAAAACAGTTTTCATCACTGATAATAATATAACCATATTACAACAATGATGGATGTTTCTGGAGCAGCAAATTAGCACATTAAAATGATTTCTGAGGAATCATGTGACACTGAAGACTGGAGTAATAATACTGAAAACTAAGCTTTGCATCACAGGAATAAATGACATTTTAAAATACATTAAAATAGAAAACAGTTATTTTAAATGTGAATTCTGTTTCACAATATTATTGTTTTTATTGTATTTTTGACTAAATAAATGTAGCCTTGGTGAGCATAAGAGATCTCTTTTACAACCATTAAAATATCGTAATTATTCCAAACTTTTGACCAGTAGTGTGTAAAGTGTTTTACAATGGCATACAATGTGGTTCAGAAAATAAAGGACAAAAATTACCTATTTTATACAACTTGAAATGTTAAAGAACATATTATATACATGCAATATTAACATTAATCAAGATTATTAAATGCTACAGTATTCATGATACCAATAAGTCAAACCACTTATTGACATAATGTGATGGCAGTGCTAAGAAAGTCTCCTTGGTAACACACAGTATTTAACAGTGACCAATGATATGCTGCCATGAGTGAAACAGCCTCACAAACTAATATTTGAGTTAGTTACTGCATGAGTTGATTTGGTACAGTATGACAAAGCCTAGAGGCCTGTGGTGGGTAACAGAAAATACTGGATATTGTTTATTGGTCCTCTGCATTTCGTCATTCTGATGATGTGCCCATATATGAAAATGTCTGCCTTTAAACCCCCATAGGCTTCAGCTGCATAGAGCTTAACCTTGTATTTATTTATACTAGTTGAACATTGCATTGACATGTTCAGTGTTTGTTTGTTTTTTGCAGGTGTTATAGCAGGTGTTCTTGTGTTTTTTCTCTTGGTCATCATTATTTGTGTTGCTGTTTTTGTATGGCACCGCTATGGTTCTGCAAAGCATAATAAGTATGATTTTTATTTATTTATTTATTTATTGTCTGGGTTTTTTTCATAATATAATGCAATATGAGCTATATTGTTTATATATATATATATATATATATATATATATATATATATATATATATATATATATATATATATATATATATATATAAATATATATATCTAATGTCTTTTTCTCATCTTTAGAATGCCCAAACCATCTGTGGAGTCAAAAGTGCCTAATAAAAACTACAAGTATGTGTGAGTCCATTATATGAGAAAATTGGAAAATAAAGTGGCCCAAAGCATTTAGAAGTTCACCTTAAAATTTCTCCCCTATGTCATTTCCAAACCTGTGTGTCTGTCTTATGTGGAACATAATAAATATAAGATATAAGAAGATATTTTGAGAAATGTTTTTCTCTGTACAATTGAGGTCAGTGATCACCAAATCTGTCTGGTTAACCAACATTCTTCATAATATATTCTGTTGTACACTCTTAAAAACGATGCCATAGAAGAACCTTTTTGTCTAAATGGTTCCATAAAGAACCTTTAACATCTGAAGAACCTTCTGTTTCACAAAAGGTTCTTTGTGGCGAAATAAGGTTCTTCAGATTACAAAAAGGTAAGAAAGAGATGGTTATTTAAATAACCTTTGACTGAATGGTTCTTTGTGGAACCAAAAACGGTTCTTCTATGGCATCGCTTGAAGAACCTTTTGAAGCACCTTTATTTTTAAGAGTGTATTCTTCAGAAGAAAGAAAAGCACACAGGTTTGAAATGATGTGAGGGTGAGTAAACAATGACAGAATATTCAGTTTTATGTGAACTTTAGGTGAAACTGCATGTTTGATTAGATATACAAATGTGAAAGTGTCATGTGCAGTAGTTTTTATACAAAAATGCACTTACAGTGGGTACGGAAAGTATTCAGACCCCCTTAAATTTTTCACTCTTTGTTATATTGCAGCCATTTGCTAAAATCATTTAAGTTAATTTTTTTTCCTCATTAATGTACACACAGCACCCCATATTGACAGAAAAACACAGAATTGTTGACATTTTTGCAGATTTATTAAAAAAGAAAAACTGAAATAACACATGGTCCTAACTATGTCATTCAGACATTTTTTTTTAGGTGTGCCACTGGTGTCATATTAGTGACTTATATAACCGTAAACAAATGCAAAATCTTTTTCAGATTGATTCCCTTGGATAAATTTCCTGAACATTTTCTAAACATGATTCGTGATGAGAATAGAGGTTTCAGTGAGGAATATGAGGTAGGGTTTATCAAATATGAAATTTAATTTTTAATATTTTTATCTCTGTCTGAATTTTGAGTGGCATTAAAACAGAACGAGGCCTAGTTGGGACTGTTGCAAAAAATTTATACGCTGAAAATGCCAACCTGCTTTTATGTTAGAATCATCAAGTTAAGTCTCGATATTCAGAGCGTTTGTTGAGTATGTTTTTACTTAATATGTTTTAACAGGACTTGAGTTCAGTGGGTATAGAACAGTCCAGTGTTGCAGCTCTTCTGCCTGAAAACAAGGACAAAAACCGATTTTCCAATGTTTTAGCCTGTGAGTGTTTACACACACACACACACACACACAGGTTTGTTTTTATGGTTTATGGGGACTCTCCATAGGCGTAATGGTTTTTATACTGTACAACCCTACACCTAAACCTACCCCTCACAGGAAACTTTCTGCATTTTTAGATTTTCAAAAAAACTCATTCTGAATTATTTATAAGCCTTTTGAATTACGGGGACACTGAAAATGTCCTCATAAATCACCTTCTCTTTGTAATACCTATATCGTACCCATGTTATTATACACATTTGTGTCCTCATAAACCACATAAACATGCACACACACACACACACACACTGATTTGTGTGGGATTTTCCATAGATGTAATAGTTATACTGTCCAAACTTTATTTTCTATCTCCTTACCCTAACCCTGCCCCTAAACATAGATCACACACAATTTTCTGCATTTTTAGATGTTCAAAACACTTGGTATTACTATCCTTGTGGGGACATTTGGTCCCCATAATGTAGGGAATACCAGGACCACATAAACACACACACACACGCACGCACGCACGCACACACACACACACACACACCCACACAGTGTTTGTCTAAAAATGTCATTTTATCCTCCTCTCTCTGTCTTTAAGATGACTCCTCTAGAGTGCATCTCACCACAAATGATGAGGGTGATTCTGATTATATAAATGCTAACTACATGCCTGTAAGTACATTAAATAGTAGTGAACATCAGCTGCAATTCATTACACAAGGCATTACCTTGCTTGTATCTCCAGAGAAAATGTTCCTGGTGGATTGACATTCGTTTATTGTTTATGTGCATATCAGGGCTACACCAATGCAAGCAGACAGTATATCGCTGCTCAAGGTCCACTGCCATCCACTGTCAATGACTTCTGGAGAATGGTTTGGGAGAAAAGGTCACAGGTCATCGTCATGGTAACCAACTGCACTGAGAGTGGAAGGGTAAGGCAATGTTCAGAATAGAAGACTGCTTACTGTTGTATGAAGTGTTTACTGAATTCCATTCATTTAATAATCACTACAGTATATGGAACTATACATTATGTAGTGATGTATGAAACAGTGTTATGCTACATTATTGTTGCATGATGTTTAATTAAATTATCAGGGCTGAAAAAAATGTTTGTTTGACATTTTTATTCCAGTTTTGTGTAAAACACCATATTCAGAGTGGTCTGGTTGCATAATTTCTGTAATAACATTGTTAACACTACAGCAGATTTGTCCTCTGCACTTGGTGCAGCTATTTGAACATACTATATATATATAATTATTTTTTTTCCTGATTTAACTTCTCCAGGTCAAGTGTGAGCAATACTGGCCACTGGACTACATGCCGTGTCTTTATGGACACCTGCTTGTCTCAGTGAAATCGGAGGATAAATTTCCAAGTTGGACTCTGCGAGAATTTAATGTCAAAAATGTGAGCTGAGATATTTCTATCCCTGTTTCAAAAATAGATGTAACTTGTAAGATGCTACACACAGTCAGAAATAGCAGAAGCTTTGACAGACTTAATCACATTTTACTTGTATCATCAGTTACTGTTCACCAAATGTGAACTTGTCAAGGTTCAAAAACGCGTTTTTTTTATATATATATATTGAACTCATTTCAAAAGATCAAGAAAAACCTTATTCCTCCTGATATGAGTCATTTAACTTGAATATGAATATATTAACACATTACTGGTCACATTAGCATAAGATTTATTTCTGTCTATATTTGCATATAACAGAAAACCACCTCTGAGACACGAACAGTGAGGCACTTCCACTTCACAGCATGGCCGGATCATGGCGTACCCACTGGCACAGAGGAGCTGATCCAATTCAGAGGACGCATCCGTCAGCACGTAGAAAGCTCTTTCTCTGCAGGGCCAACAATTGTACACTGCAGGTGACCACTGCTCACTTTGAAATCCACCTCAAACATTAACTTAACATGAATAATGACAGTCAATCAACTGCTAAAAGCTGACAGCAAAGCAATATGAAAGTGAGCATTAATAAATAACTACATTGACTAAATAAATAAAGCAACATTTGAATCCTTCTGTATTTGTCACCATCTCTGTACTCTAGTGCCGGAGTGGGCCGGACAGGTACCCTGATTGCGCTCGATGTTCTGCTGCAGCAGCTGGACAAAGATAAGGCAGTGGGAATTTCAGCATTTGTCCAGCAAATGAGACTCAGCCGGCCACTAATGGTGCAAACTGAGGTAACAGTTTCAATCCATTATTTTAAAAAGCATTTATTGTGATAGGTTTACTGGCAATTTAGCATAGAATTGGGTTCTCTGTGTTGTTATTATCATAGTGGTGATTATTTTGATGATGAATATAGCCTATTTGTGTTATGGCTAACTTTTTCCTGGAGGATCCAAATAATATATATAATATATATATATATATATATATACACACACACACACACACACACACATACACACACACACACAGGCTGCTGTGGTCAAGTGAATTTTACTGTAAAAAAGGGTGGCATTTGGGAGACTGTATATTTTCCAGTAGCTAACCATATATCAAATAATAATGTTAAAATATCAAACTACTTAAACGTTTATGTACTAACAACCAGTGTGCTGTTGGAAGTTTATTCACTGCATTCAAGCAAATGAGTAAAGTATATATACAATAAAATACAGAAATAACTAAGCAACATTAAATGAAAACACTGCAATTTATATAACTAACAGCAATAAAATAAAAACATATAAGAAATATAATTTTACTGTTTTTTCCCCCATTATTCCATATATACATACAGTGATATTACTGCTAATTCTACAATTAGGTATTAAGACTTGACAGCAGCTTCCAGAATTAATAGCAAAGTACAATAACATGTAGTAAATATTTATAACAGCACTTCCTATCAGCAAGTTATCAAGGTATGCTTCTTTTGAGTTCAAAGGACATTTCAAAACTCTTTGGTCAAACAGGGTGGCATCTGTATTTTTTATGATTACTACATATTATTTAATTACAGGTAATAATTTTATCACTAGGAAATAAGGAAATGCATATTCCTGGCAGACACTCTTTACTTTCATGTGTGTTATGCTTATCTCTCTGTCTCTTACAGTCTCAGTATGTGTTCCTGCACCAGTGCATCATTGATACTCTACAACCCAAAAGTGTGCCCAAGTCAGAGCCTCTCTATGAAAACTCAGACATGATTTATGTCAACGCAATAGCATTAAGAGAATATGAAAAATAAAGTCAAATATGAGCAGAAATATAAGCCATATCATATGGTCCAATGGCCCATACACAGCCTTCTATAAATAAACACTGAAAGCCTGGATTATACGGGTATTATATACACTAAAATGCTGTTATTGTTATTATTTTATTTAAACACAGTCTTCTGCTAATAAGACTGAAAGATACTGGCCATGGTATTTTGAGCCTAAGCTATAAAGCACTAAAGGTTTACCATTTAAACTTAACTGCCAGTCTTTATTTAACTAAATAGCTGTGTATAGGCTTGTTTTTAATGTTCAATTTTTGCTTGATAAGCTGTGCTCTCTGAAAGGAAACTTTCCTTTGAGCTGTACTTAGTGCTGCTTATTTTGCACATTGCTTTTAAATGAGATTTTTGTTGTTGTTGTTAAAATTGAAATAAGAGCTGGTCTATTTAATATCAGTTGAATTCAATTTGTTTTAGATTAATAGAGAAGAAAAGTATTTTTCCATTATTTTTTTTTTCTATTTCGCCAGTGTCATGTATTCTCAGCTGCCTGTCGTTTAACATGCTTTAAAGGAACAGTTCATTTAAAGACGATAATTATTTACATCAGGACTGGGTACCCTGATTTAAATCATTTCAAATCTGTATGCAAAATAGAGAATGATTTTTCAGAGCTGCCAAGAAGTGATAAATTATAAAGCTTCACAGATATGGTTTCTGCAAACTGTTGTTATATGGAAAGAGCTGTGTAAACATTCTTCAAACATTTTGTATTTCTTAAATTACCAATCAGAGTTTAAGATTAAGTTGCGGTCACATTAGTGAAAATTCAGTCAAATTTAAGTAATTTTCACATTCGCCTTCACATATTTGGGTAAATACTGTTGTGTGTTACCTGCTTTGGTATTTGCTGGTCATGTAATTTTTTTGCACTTTAGTAAGAACAGAAATGTAACTGAACTTTAAATTTTGAATACATTTGCATCATGTCCTAACCAGGCATAACATATGTTTCCATCCACAAGCAATTTGTAATTAATTAACTTAAAAAATATATATATATTACCGGCTATTAACATCTGGACATGGTACCATGGTAATACATGTGTTCAACTCTTTTGGTGTATATATAAATATGATAATCATTCACTATTTTGTTGTATTTGAAAGCACTATGGTATTAACTGCTGATAGCATCACTGAGACATGGTACCGCTCCAATACCATTTCTTATAACAGACTTGTATTATTAAGAGAGTGCCATTTAAAGTCTTTCATACATATTTTGTTTTTATTCACATCACTTGACAAATATTACTGTATTAGCATTAACTTATTTCGATCAATTATTGATTAATTGAATAAACTATGTGAAGAATCAACTGGCATTGGCATGCATTTGTCTGTGTTCATTTCATAACCTCTAATGGTTTCTGGCTTTTTGCAATCACAACTGTTCTTTTACATATCTGGTCACATCTTGGCCTTCATCTTCTGCAATATTAAAAAACGTTTCTATCATTTCATCTTTAGTGTCTTCCATGTAGTCAAATGGCTGCTCTGCCATTATGTTCACCACCTCAGATGGTGGATGGAGTGGCTCTACGCTAAAATCCAAGGGTAACGGAACGGAGAACTTCTTGCAGATGTTGTGCAGGACACAGCAGGCTTTGATGGTACATTCCACTGACTCAGGTGACTGAATGGATCCAATGTCACGCAGGCACTGGAAACGGCTTTTCAAACTGCCAAAGACCTGTTGTGCTCGGCCGTGTAGCTGAGCATGTGCTTTGTTAAATCGCAGCGCTGCGTTGCTTTTGATGCGAAAAGCCTCGGCAGGTGTCAACACATGTCCACAACCGTGCAGACTTCTGCTACCTGTGGGACACAAAGACAAAAAGATAAGAGGGGGAAGAGGCATTTCCTGACTGGAGTTTATTTTAAATCATGATTTTATTCATTTTACAGCATAGTATTGCAGGTCAGTTATGTTTATTATTCAGAAGTGTTTGATAGCTGAATTCCATAACTGACCCACAAGAAGTATTACAGAAAGCAATGTAGTAAACAACGTAATATTAAAAAAAAAGAACATTATGGTCAATATATTTTATTTAAAAGGATTTAACTAATTAATTAACTAATAATAGAGCACATTACAATGTCTCATGCTAACTAAGAAAACAGCATTTATTTGATCAGAAATGCAGTAAAAAAAAAAACAATTACATTGTGAAATATTACAATTTAAAATAACTATTTTCTATTTGAATTTAAAATGTCATTCAAAAAGCTGAATTTTCAGAAGCCATTACTCCAGTCTTCAGTGTCAGTGTCTTCAGAAATTAATCTAATATGCTGATTTGCTGCTCAAGAAAAAGGTATTATTATTATCAATGTTCAAAACGGTTGTGCTGCATATATATATATATACAGTGGGTACGGAAAGTATTCAGACCCCCTTAAAATTTTCACTCTTTGTTATATTGCAGCCATTTGCTAAAATCATTTAAGTTAATTTTTTTTCCTCATTAATGTACACACAGCACCCCATATTGACAGAAAAACACAGAATTGTTGACATTTTTGCAGATTTATTAAAAAAGAAAAACTGAAATATCACATGGTTATATATATATACATACATACCTTCTCCTTCCCCCCTATATATCTCCATCAAATTCTTTCACTTATCCCAGTATTTTTCAAATAATTCATTAGGAGACTATGTATTTCCCTAGACATTGTTTTCCTAGCAGATTTCCCACTGTTATGTTTTGTTTTCCAACTTGTGTTTCTAACTCCCTTCTTTCTTCTTCATACCTTTTACAATCTAATAAAATATGTTTTACTGTCTCTTGTGTGTTGCAGTGGTTGCAAAGACCAGTGGGGTGTTTTTACATCGAAACGTGCCTGAGTTGATCGTGTTTAGACATCCGGGTCATGGGGTTTTCATTTCATAATAAAAGTCCTAATAGCAGCGAAATGCGAATGAAGAAAATACAGCACAACAACATAAAACCAAAATAGATTTATTACCGAGACCGAAATCAATTTATTGAAGCTAAACACGATTTACCTTGGCAAATATTAGTTTCAGTCACATATTTGCATACACAGTAGGCAGCTTCATTTTTCATTTTTTTTATTAAAATGCATTTTGAATAATGTGTTAACATTGCGTGTGTTTAGAGAAAATACAAGAAATTATATCCTGTGTAATAAAACCTGGCCTTTTTTAAAGGTAGATTTTACACTTGGTTAAAATATTTGGTTCAGCCAGGCAGATTTGAGAGTTTGTATATAGGCTAATATATTAATTTATTTGTGAAGAGAGTGTTTCTCTAATTTGTAGAAATATTGAGCATATTTTAGTTTTCTGGGAAAGAAGTGGAATTCTATTTGGATCCAATGCGAGGTCTATCATTTACCGTTTGGAAACGTTTGGTGTCATTTCTTATTAAGGGTTAGAATAGAGGGGGTGAGTGTGGCTATGCACGAGTTTGTAATTTATTAGCGTTTTCTGGGTGGGTTTTTACCAAAGACTATAGAATACTCTTGCAAGAGTAATAAAGGGACTTTGATTTTTACTTTGGTATCCTGAACCACTGATTGTTATTTCGTTTTATGGCAACGTAAAACAGTGAAGTTTGACACAATCTACCACTGTAAACTAAAACAAAACAACAGATTAAAGGCGCATTAATATTTTCCCCTAAATTATGGCTTTAACTTTAAGAAGAATATCAGTTAATAATAGCTTTAGGAGGGCAATTCACCACGTGACTTTAAACTCAGTGAAAGGGCAAAGATTGTACAGCAACATGTCAAAAGAAGAAAGAAAAGGCGCTGACCCAGGTAAGAGTTTCTCTGTGAGCTGTAAGTTGGACTTCAGAAACGGGTGAAGCCTTTTATCATAGTTTATTTTTGACAGAAATCCAGTTTTACACATAATGTCAGCGTTCACAGTGTGTGTATGGTTAGAAACGACATGTCGCACACATCCAGTGCAAGTGTGAGACTTTGTCATATTTATTAATTATCTGTGAAACATGTATTACCCTTATTAATTACAAGAAACATTTATTATTATAAAATTTATTGGTGAGCATAAGAGACTTCTTTCAAAAACATACATAATAATAATAACAATATAATAATAATAATAATAATAACATTAATAATAAATGTTTTTAAGCAACACAAACATTTATTAGACTGATTTATGAAGGCTCATGTGACGCTAAAGACAGCTTTGCCATCACGGGAATAAATTACATTTTAAAAATATATGAAAATAAAATTTCAAAAACATCGTTTTTTACATTGTAATAATATTTCTCAATATTGCTGTTTTTACTGTATTTTTGATCAAATAAATTCGTGCTAAGTGTGCATAAGAAACTTAATTCAGTAATTCAATTATTCCAAACTTTCCCCAAAAAGCATTTGGACAAACAAATAAATAAATAAATATTATCTATTGTATTGTACCTGTCAACTGATTCATTCAATGTTCATGCATTTCCTGATTGTGGAAGGTGCTGGTGGGACAGTGATTTCTGAGAGAAGGGGTACGGTGATGGTTATTGGGATTAACCGTCCTGAAGCGCGTAATGCAGTAAATCAAGAGACTGCTCAGAGACTGACTGAGGAGCTGTCAGCCTTTGACCAGGACAACAGCCTTAATGTGGCAGTGCTTTATGGAGTCGGTAAGTTTACTCACGCACTACTATTGATGTGAACTTTGGTGCACTTTGATGGTTAGTGAAAAGAATAAATATGTCATCTGATTGAGCGGTAAAGCAAATAAATAGTTTATACATGCACTACCCCCCCCCCCCCCCCCCCCCCATGAAATATATACTTGGTTATGTCTAAAGCTTAATAACATTTTCTTCAAATTTGCCTATATTCTAAAAGCTGTTAAATATTTGACTAAGTGGGCAGCATATGGCTACAAGAGTTCTGTGTTATGTCAAAGCCTGTAATGACAATATTACCACATTGAAAACAATTATCCCAGGCCATCAAATTGCACACCCTCAATAGAAATAATTTGTTCTACCTGGATCAACCATCGCTGCTCAAATTTCCTAAATCACCTTTATCATGGTCTAATGAGAGGTTTTGCTCTCTCTCACACTCTAAACCTGGAGCTCAGCCAGAGGACTGTCTGCAGGTGAACTGAACACAGTAGATAACAATACATAGACAGCAACATAAAGAATGTGTGATGACAGTAATTGCTTAAGCTTTGAAGAGGTGACAAGAACACAAGAACTCCCTTATTTCACCAGAACACAATTTCAGGTCTGTGTTAACATCTACTATATCTTAGATGTTTAAATGGACATTAAAATGTAATTGAGCACTCCCAATCTCACTTACTAGTCTATATTTTACTAGTCCATTAGGAAGTCATTATGAAAATATGCTCACATTTCAGCTAAATTATGAATAATTGCTATTTTATTGCTTAGTTCAAGCTGTGATTTGTTAAAGTACACTGAAGGACTGGTAACTTTTCTCTGGAAAAAAATATCATTTGAAAGTTTAAAATGACTCTTGTAATTAGTATGTTTTCCCATCCCTTGTGAAAAAGAAGTGTGCTTAATTGTGGTAAACATGCATTTGTAGTGTACTTTTAAAGTATATAAAGAAACTGTAATATATATATAATATTAATTTTGATCAAATAAAATAAAGACATAATGTATTTAAAGAGAGAACACTTTAATAACTATTTTTCTTTACACACTTAAGTACACAAAAGTGCTCTTTGTAGTAATGTCAAATCAAAAGTTCTACTTTAAAATGAATTTTAAATCATTGTTTTAATAATATTTTGTTGTGCTTTACAGAAGTACACTTATTTTTAATTTGACTAACATAAGCACATGGAAAGTACTTGTTGTGTAATTTTGCATAATTGACTTTTGCTACTTTAGTAAATCCATGTAACATCTTTAACAATTAAAGATTAAAATAAAGGTGTACCGTAAAGTTAATAGATTTTTTTATGTATTAAATTGCAACTTCATCATTACAAATTAAAACAACATTTAAGTACAGGTTTCATTAGAAATTACATTAAAGTATATTTTAGTTAAATGCCTGTAATACACGGAAAATAACTTTTCTGTTTGAATATTTTTGAAAATGTAATTTTAATTTCCTGTGATCGCAAAGCTAAATTTTAAACAGGCATTACTCCAGTCTTCAGTGTCACATGATCCTTCAGAAATCATTCTTATATGCTGATTTCTGAAGGTTCAGATATTTTGAAGAATGTATGCTGCTTCCCCATTGACTTCCATACCGTTTTTTTTTCTCCATACTATGGAAGTTAATGGGGACCAGCAACTGTTTGGTTACCCACGTTCTTCAAAAATCTTCTTTTATGTTCAACAGAGGAAAGAAACTCATACAGGTTTGTAACAACATGTTGCCTTCTCAGTTAAATAATCAAGTTGTTTGTTTCAGGAGGGAATTTCTGTGCTGGTTTTGATCTGAAGGAGTTGGCCCAGAGCTCTGGTTCTCTCAAACTGGAGGAAGATGTCTCCTGTTGTCCTAGTCCCATGGTACGGAGTGGTCCTTCTTAGATGCAGTATTGCACAGTAATACTAGAGGAGTCATTTAATACATTACTTTTAAGTCTTCTATAATGTTATAAACATTTCTTGTGCCAAAAATTGTTTTCATGACTATTTCCCACCATTTCTATGACCCTTCATGCATTAACAGACACATTAACAGCCATTAATTAAAATTAAAATGTCTACCAAAATGTTCATAATGAAGCAAACATTGCAGTCATTGCAACAATTTTTCCCCCTTTGCATTGCGAAAATGCTGGCCAGCCAAAAAGATTTGTGCTTTTGTGCTGTTACATAAAACGTCTCCAGGTTACGTATGTAACCATGGTTCACCGAAGGGAACGAGACGCTGCATCGAAACGCTTTGGGAACGCCCCCGGCTGAAGCATGTATGAAATCAGTCCAATAGAGAAGCGAGACGTCATGAGCGGGGTGACATGAGCAACCAGGAAGTATAAAAGCGCATCCTGCCAACGCACATGTTAGCTTCTGCGGAAGCGAGTGCCTGCAGTGATGCAGGGAGTATGGCAGAAAGACGCAGCGTCTCGTTCCCTTCGGGGAACCATGGTTACATACGTAACCCGGAGACGTTCTCCTTCAGGAACTTGAGCTGCGTAGAAACGTTTTTGGAATACCCACTGCACCATATGAGCAAATCCCTGTCAAGTGTGTATCTGGTGACCACATCAAGACGAGCTTGGGACCCTGGAGTAGATGTCAGGTCCAAATTGTAAAACGGACAAATGTGTGTGGAGAGGACCAGCCCGCTGCAGCACAAATATCTTGAAGGGCCACGCCCACTGATAAGGCCTTGGAGGCAGCCATACTCCTAGTCGAGTGCGCTCTGACCCCGACAGGTGACTGGAGGCCAGAGGACTCGTAGGCCAGTGTGATCGTCTCAACCACCCACCTACTCAAAGTTTGCTTGGTCGTTGGAGCCCCTTTCTTAGGTGGACCAAGCAAACAAATAACTGATCTGCCTTACGCCACTGGGCAGCTCTGTGAACATAAGCGTGCTCGCACTGGACAAAGCAAATTGAGTCTTTCCTGGCCTGCTTTCTGGAAGGGAGGAGGACAAACCTTAGGGACATACCCGGACCTCGGGTAAAGGAACGCCCTAACCATGCCTGGGGCAAACTCCAGGCACAATACAGCGAGTGCCTGAAGATCCCCTATACTCTTTAGCGAGGATATGGCGAGTAAGAAGATCGTCTTCAGCGTGAGGAGCTTGTCAGAGATATCTTCAATGGGTTTGAAAGGAGCACTGCACAAAGCCTCCAGAACCACCACCAGGTCCCATAAGGGCACCTTGGTGTGCTGTACTAGCTTTAGCCTCCGAGTGCCACGGAGGAAACGTGTAACTAACGGGTATCTTCCCAATGACTGACCATCTAGAAGGGTGTGGTAAGCAGCTATGGCTGCCATGTATACCTTCAGACTGGAGGGCGATAACCCTGCGGAGAAATGCACCTGCAGAAACTCCAGAACTTTACCAACTCGGCAGTTGACTGGGACTTGCAGTCGCTGTCCGCACCAAGAAGTGAAAAGTCTCCACTTCAATGCATACAGTTTCCTCATGGCAGGAGCTCTGGACTGGAGTATGGTCTCAACAACCTCAGTAGAGACACTGGATGCTAGGAGCTGTGCCCCCTCAGGGGCCACGCCCCCAGGATCCATAACTCCAAGCGGGGGTGAAGAATGGTGAGAGGAGCCTGAGAGAGGAGATCGTAAGCAGCTATGGCCACCACGTATACCTTCATAGTGGAGGGAGATAACCCTGCAGAGAAGTGCTCCTTCAGAAACTCCAGAACTGTACCAACTGGGCTGTTAACTGGGTCACGCAGTCGCTATCCGCACCAAGAAGTGAAAAGTTTCCACTTCAAGGCATACAGTTTCCTCGTAGCGGGAGCTCTGGGCTCTGACCCCCCCCCCCCCCCGGCCCCCCCCCCCCCCCCTTCTTTTTTTTTACACAATTTCCTTATTTGTATATTGTATAGGTTGTATTTTATATATATTTAAACTGTATTTATCTGTATTATGTCTACTGTTAGTGTTAAGTGTTAACTGTATGCACCAAGGGTCTGAGAGTAACGCAATTTCAATTCTCTGTATGTATGTGCTGTACATGTGGCAGAATTGACAATAAAGCAGACTTTGACTTTGACTTTGACTCTGGACTGGAGTATGGTCTCAACAACCTCAGTTGAGCGACCGGATGCTAGGAGCTGTGCCCCCTCAGGGGCCACGCCCACAGTTTCCATAACTCCGGGCGGGGGTGAAGGATGGTGCCCCATGCCTGAGAGAGGAGATCCCTCCTGATCGGAATCTCCAGCGGAGAGCCGTTGAGGAGTGACACAAGGTCCGAGAACCGGCCAGAATGGGGCTACTAACAGAAGATGGACCCCGTCCCGACATATTCCAGAACTCCCGGGAGCAGAGCGATCGGGGGAAAAGTGTACAGACAGTTCCTCGGCCACGTCTGCACCATGGCGTCCAGCCCAAGTGGATCTGGATGCGTGAGGGAAAACCAGAGTGGACAGTGTGTCGTTTCCTGCGACGCAAATAGATCCACTTCCGCCTTGCCAAACTCCCTCCATAGGAGCTCCACCACCTCTGGGTGGAGCCTCCATTCCCCGGGCCTCAGCCCCTGTCTAGACAGGATGTCTGCTTCCTGATTGAGGTGCCCAGGGATGTAGACTGCTCTGATTGAGAGGAGCTTTCCCTGAGCCCACAGGAGGATCTGGTGCGCTAGCCTGTAAAGTGCATGACCACTCATGACCGCTCCCCAGCCTGTGAGGGAGGCGTCCGTTGTTAGCGACAAGGAGCCCCCAATATTGGGCCTTGAGACAGGAACCAAGGTTTCTTTCACATGTCTAAGGCACGTAAGCATTGATCATGCAAAGCGGATTCCCCCTTGGGGAAAACCCCTTGGTCCTGAGCCACTACTGCAAGGGTCTCATGTACAGCAGGCCAAGAGGTATCACATTGGATGCAGCTGCCATCAGACCCAACAGTCTCTGAAACTGTTTGACAGTGAGCGACTGGCCTTCTCTCACTCCTCTTATGGCTGTAAGAATTGCTTCAATACGAGCAGGAGACAACTGTGCCTGCATCGTTATCGAATTCCACACCACACACAGATAAGTGGTCCTCTGAAGTGGAGAAAGCACACTTTTCTTGGCGTTGAGCCGTAACCCCAGCTTTTTCATATGGGGGAGGACGACATCTCGATGCCGAGCTGCCAACTGCTCCGATTGAGCTAGTTTCAACCCATCATCGATGTAGTTGAGTATGCGGATGTCCTGGAGTCGCAGCGGAGCCAGAGCAGCATCCACACACTTGGTGAAAGTGCGGGGTGAGAGTGACAGACCAAACGGAAGAACCCGATACTGGTATGTTTCGCCCCCGAAAGCAAACCTCAGGAACCTTCTGTGTTGAGGAAGAATGGATACGTGGAAGTATGCATCCTTGAGATCTATCGTGCCAAACCAGTCCTCGGACCTGATTTGAGACACTATCTGTTTGATAGTGAGCATCTTGAACCGAAACCGTTTGATAGCACGGTTCAAAATACGTAGATCTATGATTGGACGCAACCCTCCATCCTTCTTCAGAACGATGAAGTAACGGTTGTAGAACCCTGACTCTCTCGAGAGACAAGGGACACATTCTAAGGCCTCCCTTCTCAAGAGAGTGTCTACTTCCTGTTCCAATACCAGAGCCTGCTCGGGGCCTACTAATGTAGGAATGATCCCGTTGAAGTGAGGTGGTAGAGAACCGAACTGAATTCTGTAACCTCTCTCTACAGTGTGCAGGACCAATTTGGCATTTGGCAGAAGTGTCCACACTGTCAGAAAGTCTACTAAGGGAAACGGTCTCTCGAGACTGGCCTCTGGTGTTGCTAGAGGAGCCACTTCGGTGCCCTGGAGCAGATGACTGGCAGGGAACGACCGACCTGACTGCTCTAGCGCCCTCACTTGAAGGCACAAGCTTTCCTGTGCTGTACCATCGCCTGGCGGCAGCTGGTAAGTTCGCTCGTCAGAGCTCACTGAGCCCTGAAGCACCGGGGGTGTGAGGGGTATCAGTGAAACTCCCTGAGGGCACTGAGGAGGATCGGGCACCGTATACCGAGGTGTGTACCTCTCCTCTCCAGGGTGGGCTGACCTCGGGGTCCTGACGATGGAATTGTCAGGGCCGCTTCTCCGAGGTCCTCTTCGATAGAATAACGGTCCGCAGATCCGCTTTCTGTTTAGAAGACCCTGACCGAGAGCGCCGCCCTGCCCCCTGCTCTCTCTGCGATGGGGTACGGGTCGAAACGTTCTGTTTCTGGGTCTGGCAATATAAGGAGAGGAACGGCTGGGACTGCTCCCGCTCAGCAGTCCCAAAGACCTAGGAGAGGCAATGGAGGAAAACGCTGGAATGCCACCACATGATTATTTGCCTCCTGAAACCTCTCGACGACAGTATCTACTGTATCGGAGCGGGAGAAGCTCACAATCATGTACAGTAGAGAGTATCTACTGAGGCTAGAAGGCAATAGCAGGGCACCAAGCAGAAAGAATCTGTCCTTATCTTGTAGCTCAGACAGATTCAACCACAGGTGCCGCTCCGTGGCCACCAATGCTGCCATTGAACGGCCAATGGCTCTGGCCGATTCTTTGGTGGCCCGAAGCGACAGGTCTGTGGCCCGACGTAGTTCGGCGACTACGTTGGATTCTCCTTCCTCCCTTTTATCCAGGTATTTTAGCAGGTCGGCCTGGTACGCCTGCAACACCGTCATAGTGTGCAGACACTGACCTGCTGCCATGTATGCTTTCTCAACCAGGCTGGATGTCAGCCTTACTGGCCTGGTGGGAAGCTTCGGGGCCTTCAGGGACAATGCTGAGGACAGGGAGAGATAGCCCCATATCCCTTCTCATTCAGCCCCGAGATGTCAGAGTAATTTGACACAGTGGGGCTGAAGAGTCGGGACGAATATGGTTTCTCCCACGATCTCAATACCTCAGCATGGAGATCAGGGAAAAACGGAAGGCCCCGTTGTGAAGGCTGTTATTTTGATCTTAGGAAACGCTTGTCCAATTGGCTTTTGGGAAGAGCGTCCTGTTTCTCGGCTGGCCACTTAATATTTAATTTGGCTACAGCGCAAGTCACAACCTTCACAAGCTCCTCATATGCAAGGGACTGTGGTGATGAGTCCACAGTCTCCTCCGTGTTGACGCTCATCACGTCAACCTCCTCAGAGGAAGACAGATGAAGCGTTTGGCTCTCTCTCCGGGTGGAAGAAACCATGGGGCGGGCTTCCAATCCCTGAGAGAGAGCCGTAGATCTAGCGGGTGAAGACCGAGATAAGGATGAGCCCGTCTCGGATCCCTTAGCTAAATCCACTTGCGACCCTCACGATAACAGCTCGGGCAAAAGCGGGGCCGGACCCAGCAGGATTGCGAACCTGGCCACTTTCATCGAGGACGGCCAGGCAGGAGCGGAGCACACAGAACGAGTAGAAGCTCACAATCATGAAAACCAGCCTCCTCAAGAGCTGACCGTGCATGCTCCGCTCCCAAACAGACGACGCACAAATTTTTATTTGTAAATGAGCTTTGTTGTTATTGATCATCTTCTTTACATGTGAAATGAGTAACATATACCACATAAGCGAATTGGTACAAACTATTGACAACTATCAACAGTAGAGCAAACTGTGAAGCTCATGCGATCTACCATATGATACAGTTGGATGATATACCCACTAGTAAAGATTAAGTCACTTTGAGTGTACATGTTCTGCATAATGGACATCTGACACTCATGTTTGCAGACCTACAGCTTGGTTCACAGGGTAGAACAGCAATATACTGATGTGTGTTGTTTGCTGTAGGGTCCGTCTCGTATGAGGCTCTCAAAACCATTGATCGCAGCAGTCAGTGGGTATGCTGTGGCTGGGGGTCTTGAGCTGGCCCTGCTGGCTGACCTGAGGGTGGTCGAGGAGAGCTCCATCATGGGTGTATTCTGCCGCAGATTTGGTAGGTATTGTTTTCGCTTTTATTGTACTTAGATGTGTTATTTTGCTTAAAGTTGAGGTAGGAGTTAGTGATGTCCGGTTCGCGAATGAATTGTTCTATTTAACCGGATCTTCGAGTCTCCAGTACGCATTAATCCACAAATTACTTAAATTATTCGGTCTACAAACGTGCCTGACACTCCCTCTGATGCGAAATAAACCAATATCCAGAGTTATTCAGTAACTCCAACAGTACATTGACTGAACTGCTGTGAAAAGAGAACCGATGATGGGATGAGCATGAGCAGAGCAGCTGAGTGCAGCGAACGTACACGCCCACTGCTAGTGGTTCTCGTTCTCGAGTCAAGAACCGGTTGCATTGGTTTTCGGATCACCGTTACACTCAACCGAGAACCGTTTCTTTTGGACATGTCAGATTTGAGAACCGATGAGCTGATGATACTGCGCATGCATATAATTTTTCAAGAGGATGAAAAGTATGTTTTTTGTTAAACATCAGAAAGTGTGATAATATAAATATATATATATTTTTTTAAATGATTGTATCTAATCTGTGTACGTACTTTGTTCAAGTGATCTGTTAGGTAATAGGCCAAAGGGGTTTGTCAGGGATGTTGGACCATAATTAAGACTCTTTCTTTAATAGGAATAAGGGATGATTTATGAAATACCTGTACTGTAATTATAGTTAACGATGACACATTCACAAATTGAGTTTGTAGTAAATAGAAAGTGTGATAATATAAATATATATATATTTTTTTAAATGATTGTATCTAATCTGTGTACTTTGTTCAGTTGAGGATTCTGTTAGGTAATAGGCCAAAGGGGTTTGTCAGGGATGTTGGACCATAATTAAGACTCTTTCTTTAATAGGAATAAGGGATGATTTATGAAATACCTGTACTGTAATTATAGTTAACGATGACACATTCACAAATTGAGTTTGTAGTAAATAGAACTGATGAACACGAGTAGAGCAGCTGCAGAGTGCCGGTTAGAGCGGTTCTCATTCTCGGTTGCATCGGTTTTCGGATCACCGGTACACTGAACCGAGAACCGTTTCTTTCGGACACGTCCGATTTGGGAACCGATGAGCTGATGATACTACGCATGCGTGATTCAGCGTGAAGCTACCGAACAGTACATGATTGCCTACCAGGGCCGGATTTACCTCTTTTTATGACATAGGCAAAACAAATTTTTGGGCCCCCCTTCCCTATTAATATAATAGGCCTAATATTTCCACCCACACTCTTAAAAATAAAGGTGCTTCAAAAGGTTCTTCAAGCGATGCCATAGAAGAACCATTTTTGGTTCCACAAAGAACTATTCAGTCAAAGGTTCTTTAAAGAACCATCTCTTTCTTACTTTTTTATAATCTGAATAACCTTTTTTCGCCCCATAGAAACTTTTGTGAAACAGAAAGGTTCTTCAGATGTTAAAGGTTCTTTATGGAACCATTTAGACAAAAAGGTTCTTCTATGGCATCGTGAAGCACCTTTATTTTTAAGAGTGCAAGCAAACAAAAATATTTCTTAACCAGTGGAAATCGTTTACAGTGTTTACTATCGCAATAAGCGCTTGCGTTGAATGTAGTTCTTAATTTGTTTGAGAACTGAGAAAGACCATTCCATTGATAGGCGCGGTGACGTGGCCACATAACCACTTCGGGAGTGCATTATTTCTCTAATAATTTTAACGGCCTGGAGACACAATCACACATCAATTGTTCAGACGATTTGTTTCAAGACATTTGACATGTTTCTCTCCTGAAATCTCATGTGTGTTGAACTAGATTATTTTTACGCACCTCATCCCAAACCTTCCATTGCAAATTCCAAAACTTCATTTTAGAGCTAATAACAGAGGCTTTAGCCATTGATATGCAGGCTAACGAAGTTATTAATGCAGTCAAACACAGTTAATAGAGAGAGAAAGCAAAAGAGAGAGAGGGAGAGAGAGATTAAGTGCGTGTGAATACGTGCGTCTGTGTGTCTCTCAGCAGTACTCAGCAGCAGTGTCTACTAATTAGCGTATCTTTAAGTTGAACTGCTTCAAGAACCTCGCTACTGAGAAATGTCATGTATAGCTTTCAGCTGTGAAACTATTTTATTGATAAATTCGCAGGCAGCCGCAGCTCTAACAACGAGTTTCTGTTCACGTCTCCGCGTGTGTGCGCGAGTGTGTGTCTGTACTCTGTGTGCGTCTGTGGGAGAGAACGGGAGAAAGAAAGCGTGATTGCCGTACATAAAAAAAGGTTGAAGACATGGAAATACATTGTCATTTTTACCCTATTGTTTGTAATATTTATTTGCTCAATGTCTTCTGGGGTTTTGGTTCTTTTACTGTTGCCCCCCTGGACGAGCGAGCATAGGCATGTGCCTATAATGCCTATGCGTAAATCCGGCCCTGTTGCCTACTATGAGTGACACAGCATGTCTGAACCGAACTGGTTCTTTTGGACAACTCATTCTGTGCTAATGTTATGAGCTTGAGTAAACCGAGGACTTGAATGAAGGGCAATCTGGCGAAATATACGTTTATTTAATAACAAATAAATCGCATGGATTATGTATAGGAAGTGGATTATGGTTTCTGCGCTGATGACAACTAATTTATTCACTTTATATCTTCAAGACTTAAATCCTCATGCACATCACTGCCTGTACCTGTATTTGGCTGCTTAGTTGCAAAACGTAATTATAAAATTTTCAGATCATGATTATATATTTGAATGTGTATTTTTATCCCGGCCGGGGATGATAGACTTGATATCATTACGTCATTGCGAATGACATCATTACGTTAGGGTGTAAAAAACCAATGAACCGTTTTTTTGAACCGGTTCATTGAAACGAACTGTCCGATAGAACCGGTTCGCGGAAAAGAACCGGACTTCCCATCACTAGTAGGAGTTGTTTGTTTGTTTGTTTGTTCATACCTACAACTCTTTGTAGAAGGGGTTTGTGTTTGGGAATTTTTTCTTCTAAAAAAATCTTAAAGAAAATCCTGATATTAATATAGAATTACTTGTTGTTTAGGTAACAATGTTGTTTGAAACAACACCGATATATATGGTAACATCTAAAACAGTTAAATGTACATAAAAACTACAATTTAAATAACTTTATTACATAAATTTTTATGACAAAAACAAAACATTTTATAAAATCATAAACCTCACATGATAATATAACATACAGTGTATGTTATATTTGGTCTGAACAAAAGCAGTGAGTGAAAATGCATATTAACTCTTGCTTAGTAATAAATGTTTACTACAGTGGTAGACAGTGACTTCTTTAATCCCCAAAATCAGCATAACCAAACAGAGTAGATAAATGGTACAGCGCATCAGCTTATAGGACACACTCAAAGAAAAGCATCAAAATCAGAGACAACAAATAAAAAACACCAGCATGGCAGGTGTTGATTTAGAAGGATGACACTATTGATTCATAACAAGGACAGGGTCAAAATTCAGGGCTGTTGCCAGGAATAACCAGGTGGCAGTGAGACATACAAGAGATGCTTACACACATACAGTACATGTACACACGTCACACATGCAAGATTGCTAAGCATGAGAAAAACAAATGGAACAATATAAATCCGCCAAAATATTCACTTAGATTAGTTAAGTGAAAGCATGTTGCCAAATAACATGTACCTCCAGCATACTTTGTCTATGCCAAAAAATGTGAGAATATATCTTTTAAATGCTTCAAACTTAAAAAAAATTGCTTTGCGTGAGAAAACATAGAAATATACAGTTACAATTTTTAGTTTTTCATTTGATTTAGTTATGCTAGTTTTGCATCAAAAACAACATGATTTTTGGTAATCAAGATCTGGCAGCAACAGCACAGTTTTCCGGTTGGGCGAGCAATTCATGGACAGCTTTTCTTGCATGAAATCACCCACATGACAATAAACAATGAGAACTTGGAGCAGTAATGATGATTCATAGCAGTTGAGTGTAGGTGCCAAAGCGGTTGTGGATACACTTACCCGAATCCCTCCATAACTGGAACATATTTGCAGAAAATTGCCATTTGGCAAATAAATACTTTACAGACAGTCACATATGTAATTATGTAAGCTTTATGTTACACTTCAAATGACAAGGGAATTTATACTATTGTTAATATTGATTAGCTAGTCCTTTAGCTCATTCTCTCAAATGGATTGGTTATGCAGAACATTCACAGCTTATATGGACTGCATGCCCCTGGATTACCATATTCATGTACTATGATATTACCACATTGTACTGTGGTACTTGCAGGATTCTAAAAATGGCTGTATTATGAGTAATAAAATAAAATGTATCAATTTCAATCCAAACATAGTAAATTAAATCCTACAATGCTAAACTATTGTAGACAGGCTTTGCAGTACGTAGAAAGAGAAGAGAAATTTGATGCAGTTTAATTCTGCATGTACTAGTTTCTCTATGCTACAGATATGACCACAGTGTATATAAATATGCCAGCAGTGCTATAATTTACTGCCAGGAACTGATTTTTCCAGCTGCTCGTTTAAAACATAGAGGCATCATCATGACCCTCTCTCTTTCATTAAACCAAGCATCCGGGCATTGCCCACATGTGCTTGTGGACCTGTTCCTCAGACTGTCTGCCTCTACTGTACTTGCGCCACCCAGGAAGACGTGACGCCTGCAGTCTTTATGTCTTCACCAGCATTCTACAGTAATGATTAGTCAAATTGTTTGTGAAATTAAAAAAAATTGTGGTGCTTGCTAAGAAAATTGTCTGCATTAATATTGTTTTTGTTTAGGAATTTGATGATCAAACATATAACCCTTAAAAAACTGGCATGTAACTTTACATGCACTACTTGTGAGGCTTGAATGATACCTCAAATCATGTTTTGGTGAGGTATGCTATTACTTTTCTTATTAGACTTATAATTATCACATGGACGAAACAATTATCAAAATCACATATACTCACTTACAATGATGAACACAATCCA